GAGATCTCTTAAAGACATTGCTGAATATAGCACTTGCATCAAATGCCTTCTACCCAAGTTAATGGATTTGTGTGATGTCTACATTAATCATCCTACTGGACCAATGGGAGACAACAAGCTTGATTTGAAGGCTGCAGATTTTTGCCCACAACAGACTGATGCGTAAGTATCAACATATAAAACAAAACATTGTAGTTGAGAAATTTTTCTGTACATCTTTTAAATAGGGTCTCCTAATATATTTCTTGATTTTTGCAGTGGGAATTGTGGTATGTTTGTGCTTAAAATTGCAGAGTACCTCATGATGGATATGGACATTAGGGACATCCGTACAGATCAGATGGCAGCATATAGGATGAAGATGGCTACATAGCTAGTTCGATTTGCAGAGTCAAATATGGCTGCAAAGGAGTGACTATAACACATATTGATGTTATTATCTGTTTTGTGTATTGAGCTGGTTGAAAGCTCTATTGCTATTTTTGCTTTGTATGATGAAACCTTTGGTGTATGACAACAATGCATATGGTCAGTGATGGTCATTGGCATATTGCATTGTGACTTAGTTTCATTCTGTACTAGAATTCTGTGTTTGGGTACATGTGCCTTTGTTGTGTTTTGAAGTAATGTGAAAGTGAAACTGTTGAAATTGTGTTGTGTTAAACGTGTTTTTTAAATCAATTTTAGTGAAATAATTTCCTCTTTACGCAGTCATCAATGGAAGTATAAAGTGCATATATTTAAATTGTGTCAGAAAAAGACAAATAGAGAATAAAACAACCAATACAATGTGTTAAGAAAGACAAATAGAGAATAAAACATAAATTTGAAATTACAAGAGTACTGTGGAAAAAATGACACTGTGGTGTTAAATGTATTGTTTAAATTTATTACAGGGAAATAAGTTCCATTTTATGGAGTCATGTATGGACGTATAAAGTGTAACTGTTGAAATTGTGTAAAAATATAACAAGTATTTGGCTATTAAATATAAAGCGTGGAGTTCAAGGACCATATTGTTCAACAAAAAGAACATAAAGCATTAAATCATCCATATTCGTAATAAGAACATCTCAAATTGAAATACATATAGTTGGAAAGAGATAAAGTAAATGATGCTAAACAACTCTTAAATAAGAGCTGCATCTGCCATTGGAATTGGATTGGTGCATGATTTCATGTTGTGGCCATGAGACTTGCACCTCGAACATCTTTACTTCACTCTACGTTTGCCATAACGGAACTCCCCTACAGAAGGATACCTTTTCTTCTTAGGTCTTCCAGGAGGGCGCTTGTTGCAAGATGGAGGGTCACATTTCCTTGATAGAATCTCTTGAGGAATCACCCATCCAGACACATCACCAATAGGATGAACAATTCCAGCATATGTGCACACCAATGCTTCCAATTTGTAAAAGGTGGAAATAAATTCGTAG